CACTGTCATCCTGACCATCTCATAAATAGCTGCTCCATTATTAAGGTCTCCTAATGGCMGTCAGTACAGCAGAAAGATCTCACTTGTCCCAGAATTTGTCATCCATGACCTTGACAAAGCATGTTTAACAGAAGGATCTTGCTTACTATTGAAAAAGACTAAGAATACCTGCCCTCAGGACTAGTCAATCTATCTTTATCAAGTTACACTGCTTAGATGAAAAAAAGTTTAATATTACAGTGCCTACTCACTTTTCTGTTCCCTCATCTTCCCTCTTCCTTTCTTTAGRCATTGCACCATAAGACAGCTTACACAGAACAGCTGAAACACACAGGATCAAGTGATCCTGCCCATATTTCAACATCTGGATCTTAACATGAATTCAAACTTCTACCTGATTCAAACATATTTTGAAGAATTAGCTAAGTCTTAGCTTGATTAAAAGGGCAGCCTTCTCTTGATATTACTCATGGTATAAAAACAGTATGGGGCTTGGGGGGAATGGAAAATTAATGCTACTCAAGAACAAAAGACTAAAAAGACTTCTTATTACCTCCCGTTACCCATGACAGACATGTCTACTCCTGTTCAGAGATCTGCATGCCTCCATATGAAGTATGCCTTCAAAACCCTTTTGGGAAAGGACATGAAGCCCTATGAAACAGCCATTCAACATAAATACCTTAGATGTGTCCTTACACACAATGAATGTGCTAATCTAACATATAATAAAGAATTAAGGAAAATAACTGCTTGCTTGTTTTKTKTTTTTTTCTTTTCACGTGTGASARTGAYTCATTGGGGTGACAGAGGAGTTCACAATACAAAATCCACACCAGCTATGACAACAAAAACCAAGTATTCCAGTGRTAACATTTAAACAAAGTCAGCTGTCTCACAGGTAGAACTGTGACAAAGTACTACAATACAAGACACAGCGAGACACGAAAGCAGCTTCATTAGTAAAGTGTGAAGGATTAAGGCCTGTGTGTACAGGGACTCAGTTCTTGGCAATTTTCTTGAAGAGACTCCCACAGCTGTGAAGGCTGAGTGTTACCTGGACTGCAGAGCAATGCAGTACATCTGCACTACTCCTGCCAGCAAAGGGCCACAAGTGCCAACAGACTTGGAACACTCCCCACATCACTTCAACAGCAAACAACTCCTGAAATACACACATCCAATTTAACCTGATCCTTTAACCCACTGAATCAACAGCCAMTGAAGGCTAGGAACTCCAGGTAGTTCCACTGACCCCCACCTTTCCCAAAAAAACATACCCAGGCATTCCTCAAGAATATGACAGAGCTTTTCAAGGCTAACCTGTGGGACCTAGCAACTTCATCTTTACTGAGYCCAGGCAAAAAAGTTTACTGCATTGCTTTTGGTCAACAGACCYTTCTGTTTCAACACTAAAGACCACAGCGATTCAAACATGTTAGGTCAGCCCCAGAGTTCACAGAAGAAAGGTAGAACATGGCAGGAAAGAAATTTCTGTATAAACAAAATACTGACACCATGAAGCAAACTACAAATTYATTTTTAGAGCCTCTGCTTGCAAACATGCAAAATTAGACTTGGGATGAAAATAATTTACAGCAGATACACAGGTCATGTCCACAGACACAGAGAATCAAATCCTGATCTTCATCTGCTTTATTTCAACTTTTCACAAACACCTCCTAGATCCTGATCAGGCTTCTGGGAGGGTCTTCTGCCTTACGAGAATTACTTTGAAGAAGTAAGGAGACACATGGGGTCTTTTCAGAATACATCGGCTAGAACTTCCTCCTGCTGCAAAGCAATTCACTCAGCAAAATAAACCACGGAAAATCCCAGCCGTTTTTATCATTTTCACAAACAGGAACTTGTTACAACCACCTGCAGATGAAACAACCTCACCAGTTTTGAATTCACTACCCTAAATGAAAGCTTGAAGGTCTGATTCTGGGCAAGACCCTTTATAAAAAGAGATGAGTAGATATCTACCTACTTTTYCCTCATTTATCATGTGTTTTCACATTTGGAAGTCGTATCATTTCCCTTCTCCAAAAACAAAATACCAGCAGAGTCACTCCCATTTGAGGCCGGAAGCAGTCTTTTACTTGTCCCACACAAACCCTCGGTGAAGCCTTAGCACATCTTTCAGAACAATTCTGAGAATCAAACTTCTATGCTGTGCATAAGCATTGCCYTCCCACTTGAATTATCAGTTTCTATATCCTTAATGTATAGCCCATATGCCTTATTCACCCACTCTGCAACGGCCCTTCTCGCTGCATCAAAATAAAGTTGCTAATTCCCCACTTCTTCATGGGAATAATAGTTTAGCTAACAAACACTGGTTAGCTGAGGGATAGGAAYCTGTATCATTGTGGTGATTTTAAGACAACTTTTGGGTGACAACAGTTTGATAAGTCCAAAATGGTCAGAGCTCAACTGTCCCAAACCATCAGAGCATCCTAGATTTACATTCCTTTCCCCCCCACAGGGACTTGAGAAGCTCATTTAATGCCATCTGGCACTACTTCCAGCAGTCGCTGAAAATTCACTCGTAGGGGATCTGCAGCTCAAGAAAATGGTAAATCCTGTTAATGAACATATGACAGAATGATACTTCAGTAGTTCTTCACCTGACAAGCCTGTCCAGCACCCAGAGCCCACGCCAAAGGGCAGCAGTATCTATATGACAGTCTGTCTTTGAAAGCTATAGCAACTATAGAAAACCACTCAAAAGTAAACAGCAGCTCAGCTTTTCTACACTGAAGATATTAATTCTGTTCTTTTCTCCCTTGCTCACATATCACCTTTCACCTTGTCACCTATAACCTCCCCACAGCTCTCTGGAAATAATATCTTCTGCAGAAAACATATGAGAACAGGCATCATGTCCTATCCTCACAGGACTACTTAACCCATGCTAAATAGTTGATCTCTCAATTTAATTTACAAAGAGCAGTTGTTAAGTAGGGCGGTARAAGAGAGGTTGTGTGACTTGACACCTGGCCACTAAGACACTAAATAAAATTATGGGGTTCCCTAAGGACACAGAACCCCAGCACCAATACCAGAATTACAGCTCTTCATAAAGCATCACTGCAACCATCACTCTATGTAACCTGAATTTTTATTTATCTAGATCCATCATACCTTGACAGAAAACTTATTTTAAGGCACTGGCAAGTTTTACCTTTTATTCTTCACATCTTCAAATGTTACTTATCCAACTTGAAATGCACCCAGCCAGTTAAACTCTGAACTGCTACTTACAGCTTTTAAAATCAAAAGAAAAATGGGCAGGCATAYACCTGACCGGAAAATTATAACTAYTCCTCCTGTGTGTGTGACATGCTGCTAGGTACAAAATTGTGTGGAATTCTACTGGATTTTATCTCCACTACACCCACTTTTTTCAGTAGTAGTGTCAGCACCAATATCCAAACACAGACCCTTTACAGTTCTTAATATAACACTTCTACCTCACTTTAATCCTGCCTATTCCAGCTCGGAATTCCTTTTTTTTGTATATATGTATATGCACACAGAAACACAGAGACACAGCATGCTTTTAAACACATGAGCTATGCTTTTTTAAAGCTAAAGCTTCTATAACAGATACGGTCTGAATAGGACAGTCCAGACACAGCTTGCAGATTGAGAAGTGTTGATGGCTTCCAAACACAGGAGAGACATCAATAACCAAGCTGATTTTTTTAAATATACAAGAAAACATGACAGAATACATGATATCAAGACCAATTATCTATTTAAACAACARTTTAGACTCCAGTGAGTCTTCAATCAATGCTGCTTACATCAGCATTTCTTGGACATGTATACAAGAGTATTCAGATATAYTGAAAGACCAGCCTGCTGTTGGTCACTAGGAGGGTAAGCTACAAAGTCATCTGAAGTGAAATCTGGAATTATTTTCCAGAAGTAATGCTACCTCCTTTTAACAAATACYGCATCATCGGAATTGTACTTACAAACACCTGCACCAGCATTACTTGGCAATGGCCAGCAGCCAAGAGACTGYTTGGTATAAAACCTGCTGATCTTTACATGAAAGTACTTCTTACCATGTCCAAAAAAACTATGGGGAACCCACTTAGTTTTAAATATTAACACCAGTTGTTGATCTGCCAAGTTCAGTGCTGGACAGATCCTACTGGTCAACAAGGCCATTTAACATCACATGACTAAATCCTTTTACCATTCTACTACTTGGTGTCTCCAAGCATGATCTGACAGTTGAAATGAAATCATCAAGACAAAACACAATCAGCTCATTGTTTTCTAATAAATGTTTTACCTCAACCTTGTTTCATGCCTTAACTAGCTAATGTCGGTCCAGAATACATCATGAATCTGAGATAAAGCCAATGGCCATCTTTAACAAAACATGATACAAACTATTAGACAGCTCACAAAGTTGCTGYCAGGTATTTGGGACCTCAGCAACAGCCCTTAAACTCTCCAAAGGTTTGTCCCAATACACAGCATGGCCTTATACCAGTGCCTGGCCATTAAAGCACACCATCATCTGAACCTCTTCAGAAGTGGAGATGCAGTGCTGTGGGGATGGCCCCACTCCTACTGCTGCTTRGCCAGCTGTGGGAATACCATTTTTGTATATCTCCTCCTAGCTTAATCCTGACCAAAGTAGGCAGTGACAAGCACGTGTTCATTTTGCCCTGCGTCCGATTCCCTTCCCTTTTTCCAAGCCCCTGTTCCCTAAGGCGCTCTTTGCACTGTCTTTCTGGATAAAAGGCAAGAGGTCATGAGGAAAAAAATGGCCGAAAGAGCAGTATTATGCAATAAGAGAAGAAATGCAATAATAACTCATCCTCTCCTGGAGATTTCCCATCACCCTTACGCTTTGCAAGCTGGATTAGAGCAAGCRTGACAGCCAGCCGGCTCAAAGGCCCACTAAAGTGCCCTGCGGGCAGGCTGCTGAGCCCCGGGCCTTCGCTGGRGAAACAAAAAGGGATGCTCACAGTCCAGGTGCTTTTTCTTGGGCCCCATCACTTCATGCGTGGTGGCTTTGCAGACGGCTCTGGCTACGGCCGATCCCGTAACGCTGTACTGAGCAGCTGCGATGCGATCTGTCAGCGTCTGACCCGACATCTTCGAACGGTGTGCTGGCTGCTGCCTGCTCTGCAGGGGCGAAAGACACGGGAGGGAAGGGGGAGATGCCGGGTTTATGGCCGGGGGGAGGCACGGCAGGGACGCGCACAGGCACACGGACACTCACACGGCCCCGGCACACGCACAATGGTCCCTCGGGCAGCCCGGCCCCTCCCGAGGCGCAGCCCCCCCGCCCCGTTGTGTAAGCCTCTGCCTCGCTAGAAGCCGCCCGGGGCAGAAAGAAGGGTATTTTAGGCGTTGCAAGGAACGGATGAAGGGGAAATAATGACAGCAGCTGAAGGAGGCTGCACACAAACGCGGTGCGAGCCCCCGGGATGGGGGGAAGGCAGCCCTCCCGCACCTGCCTCGGCAGCGCCCGACCCGCGGAGGAGCCGCCGCCGCGCCCCGGCCCCGCTGCAGCGCCCGCGCCGCCGCCTCCCCGATGGGAGATTATGGCACCGTTGCGCCATGTTCTGCCCTCCCGGTGCCTCCCCCACCGCCACCCCCGGCCCGACAGGGAACCCCCGCGCCGGCGAGCGGAGCGCCGCTGGATGCGGCGGCGCCATGCAGCATCCCGGCGCGGGGGGACAGCGGGACGGACCGAGCGCCAGCGGCCGACCTGTCAGTGTGTCCTTCCCTCCCGTCCTCCTGCCGCCGCTCCGGGGAGGGCACTGCCGGCCCCCGCCGCGACCGCTGCCCGGCCCGGCCCGCTGGCGAGGAGCCCCGCGGCGCAGCAGCCCCCCCCCGTCCCCCCGGCCCCGGTAGCCCCAGGTGCCGGGCGGGCTGTCCCTTCCCACCGCCGCCGCCGGGGATGCGCTGGGCGTCCACGCCCGGGAGCCGACGCTGCTATTTCCAGCCGGCGGCTTAATCCTCCCGCAGCCTAATCCCCGCGCTACTGCCGCAGCAGCGCCGCCCCCTACCCCGGTGCAGAGGGCGGGACGGAGCGGAGCCGAGCGGCGCTGCCGCCGCAGATCGSTGGCCCGGCGCAGTCAGGTGACCCCGTTCCCCCACCCGCATCCCGCTTCCCGGAGGTGGCGGCGGGGACGGCMGGAGCTGCTCCCACGCGGGGGCTGTCCCGGTGGGGATCCGCGACTGGGGGGAGCCGGAGCCACTGATGCTTCCCCCCTCTGCATCATGGTGCTGTCGTGAGCGCTTAAAATAGCACCTTGAGGGATCCCAAAACTGCACATAGACTAACTAGATTTCTCCAGAATATTGTTGTGATGTTAATGTTACCAAAAACATCTGAAATATTTCCCCATAAGGGTTTTCTTCCTGTTATCTAAGATACCCTAAAGGTCTTGGTCTTACAACCYATCTACCCTCGGGAGGATATATCACTATAATTTTATTGTGTAATTGAAACCTACCGGAGTGATCCGTGGAGTATTGGGAAATGTGGCGTACATATATTACCATAAATTGGCTGAACTTAGTTTTGGAGTAAAGTGATTTAAGTGGGTGGGGTCTAAGCGAAATGGCACGGGCAGCAATTACTTCGAGCTGCCGGYAGAGAAAAAATTCAGAAGCCTATGTCAGTGCATGTTATTAATTAGCTGGAGGAAACACTGTGCACAGTCAGTATTGAAGAGTTGTGCACACCAAGTGATAATTGGGTTGTGTTGCATACAAAGACATACGGCACCATATTCATTTGTTATACCAGGAGCAGAACACTAACAAGGGATTGTGGTCTGTGACAGTATGAAACAGCAGCTTTCTTACTACTTTTTTTTTTTTTTTTTTTTTTTTTTTTTTTTTT